TTAGGGGTTTTAATGTATGATTTGGGCTTTTAGTTGTTGCCGACCCATCTTACAAATGTAGCCCGTTTAATTTGGTCTATATCCTTGGGTCAATTTGACCCGTTTGGATTTCTGAAGTAATTTTCAGCGGGTTAAAGGGTAATTTAGGTAATTGGTTTAGGGAATCTTATGTAACAACCTTAGGAAGCTTCCAGGAAAGGGGTTTTGAGACTGGTTTTGAAATTCTGAAAATTGCATTAGGGGTATGGGAGCTAAAATCAAAATTGGAAAAGGGTTAAAATGCAAATCTGAATTCTTCTAGGCTACCCTAATAGCTTGCCTATAAAGGCATCCTAACTTGACATTCAAGGCAGATTTTAAAAAAGGAGAAAAAGGGCTGAAAAGCACAAAGGGCTGGGGAATGATTCTGAAAATACCCTGAAATTTCTGTATCTCTTGGGGTGGGAATTGGTTCTGAATCTGCTCCCTAATCTTAAGTTTCAACTGGAATTTTAAAAGGCTTCAAAGAACTCTTGTTTTATCTGGGTAAAAATGGTTTAAAAGCTGAAATTGTTGGGTCTTTTAAGCTGTTTGATTTGGTTTTACTGTTGATCTCTGCTGCTACACCTGCTAGCCTTGTATTGCTCTAAGCTAATTCTCAAGCCTTTTGTTTATCTTTGTTGTAACCAGGTACTCATTCGACCTCAAATGACATGTTGAAATAGGAATGAGAATGATGATGACACCATGTTTTATGGCAATCTATTTTAGATTATTTTTTGTATTTACGTGAGCCTGTTGATTAACTTGTGTGTATTTTGATAGCTGATTCGAGTGGCTATAATACTCTACTGAAGCCGCTAAGTGTTGTAGTTTTAATGCTAATTAGTAGTAAGTTCTGACTTTAGGATGCATAAGATCGATTGTTCTTTGAGCATGAAGCGTGTTATGTTGCAATATAGGAAAGTCTCTTATTTGTTTTAAGCGATATCAGCCAGTGCCTGCTTTCTTTCCAAGGTCTGGAGCTGGGCAGTTCCAAGGCCATTGTTGATAAATGAAGTCTTTCTAAACTTTAAATTGTTTTCTTTATTGCTGGAAATTCGAATTGGTGACTTTAAATGGTGAAAACGACCTGCATATGAGTTGATAATAATCAAGAATCGTAACTTCATGTCAGCATGTATGTTAGCATCAAGAATGTGCTTTGCCTTGGCTCAAGGTCGTTGGCGTTTGTTCAAACTCTAAATCTTCTTAACAATGTAGTTTACTTCAGGTGTTAGTTTTAAATCTTAAAATCGGGCCGCTATCGTTGGCCCATTTGTGATTAGTTTCCCCTCCAGCAATTAGACCACCAATCTGGGCTCCATGTTGAACCCATCTGATTCTCGTGCTGGGCAGTCAGCTGATGGGCTCACGGCCAGCCTGAGCCCTCCCCAATCAAATATTGGTTTTGCTTGTTACTAGCTCATTGGCTATTAAAGTTTAGCTTAAACATTGGCTTAAAATAGTTAGAAATTCCCTCATGTCTTTTAATCAATTAATGATGCTCATTAATTAGTCTGGGGTGAGCTATATTATATGTTACAAGTGGCTCGCGGCCTTCATGAGTTAGTTCAAAACTTTTTTTTTTTAATAAAATGATTCGAGATGCGCCGTGCCAAACAAAAATGGTAAAATGTACGGCCCTTGTTTAATTGATTTTGATTTAATCCTTAGAATTCGAGAAGGGCCATTTAGCAAATTTCCATGGTCCTCGCAAAGCTGAAACGTCTAATTGCTTTAAGCGCGTATTTTAATGATATTATCTTCCTAAACTCGGGTGTGCATTTCATGTGACCCAACCCCAAATCCGAAAACGTTGAATAAAATGTGTTCTGGACCGCGGGTGCATTTCATGTGGCGCGATCCAAAGGCACGTTTTAAACGACGTTCAATCTTCTTTAAAAATCAATTAAAAGCGGATTTAAAGTTAAAATGCATATAGGTTCAAAATGTTCTAAAATCAGATAATAGGCCAATTATAACAGTTGAGCGACCGTGCAAGGACCACGAAACTCAGGAATGCCTAACCCCTTCTCCCGGGTTAACAGAATTTCTTACCCGGATTTCTAGTTCGCGGACTGTTAAACAGAGTCAACCCTTTGCTCGACTCGGGATTTGAACCGGTGACTTGGGACACCATAAATCTCCCAAGTGGCGATTCTGAATCTTTAAACAAATAAATCCCGTTTTGATTGTCCTTTAATTGGAAAAACTCCCTTATCCTTATACCCTTTACGGAGTGTAGTAAAAAAGGAGGTGTGACAGTAGGGCGACGAAAGGCTACTTCAATGACGAAAACAGCCGGAAACTCGAGAGGGTCACCTTTGGAGAAGCGTTTGCTGGTAACCAAAGCCTCACTCTGATTATGTCGTGAGGCTGACTGAATCCAATCCATAAACCCGGAAATGAAAGGTTATTCGTTCCCTTTCGTCAAGTAGGCATACGAACCACGTATATATATATATATATATATATATATATATATATATATATATATATATATATATATATATATATACATACATACAAATTTTATACATTTTTCGGCTATTATTTTTACAGCGGCTATACAGTGTCATTTTTTCATAACTTTAAGCAAGTACCACCAAAAGATATGGTGCGGCGGATGAGATTGTTCTTCCTTTAGCCAGAGGTCTCAGGTTCGAGCCTTGGGTATGAAAAAATGAAAAAACCTTTGGTAGAGAGCGCTCCCCCCTCCCTCCAACGGGCAAATCTACATTGCCTATAATGGGTGCTTAAGCACCCATTGGTTTTGGACACAACACTATTACTTTATATATATATTAAAAAAACTAATAAATTCATATAGATACATATTAGTTGAGCACCCAATCTAAGTAGTAATTTTTTTCAAAAATTAAAAATAGTTAAGCACCCATAATTTATAAACTCTGAATCTTCCANGGATATTAGGTGGAAAAAGAAACTCTAAGCAAGTAACATGACATTTTTAATGATCAAATTTATTCTCTTATGTAGTTTTTTCTCTCTATAGTTGATACATGCTGGTTTTGGACAAAATTTTTATCAACAATCAAGAGAGCTTATAATATTTTTAGTTTTGTATTTGTGAGTACCTTAGTTAAGAATATTACAGTCTATGACTTTATGCACTAGGTAGTATTAGAGTCGAACAAACTGAAGTTACCGAACCGAATAAATCGAAACAAAAAAAAAATGCATATCACACTGAATTTAATTAAGTATGATATTGGTGTAGCAATTTAAGAAATCGAATATCGAAAATGTTTAAATATTATACCGTACTGACTCACAGCACGATGAAGTAGGGCGGTTGCAATTGAATCAACATCAACTACTATAAAAATGCAATTGATGTCTTAAGGTTTATCTAATAAAAATCAATTAGTAACACTTGGCATAATAAAAGGTCCTATTGCGTGCACGAGTCCTATATTATCATTACGTCCAAGACCATGTCTGATTATGAAACTATTGTGTAGTCCTTGTATATGACAGGGTAGAATGACAATGTATATCATTAAGTCTGGACCATGTTTGATTATGAAGCTACTATAGTAATCCTCTATGACAGGGTAGAAAATGACAGTTTCTTTAAAACTTGCGCACCTCGGACTAACTATTTTACTAGGTGTCTATCACCTCCAACAAATAGTTCTGTCCACCAAAAATTAGAAAGATGGAAGGAAATCACTTAATATTTTTTTATCGGACTCAAATCCTTATCTGCCGTAGTTTCATCCCACTTTATTGATTATTAGACGACGAAGGTTGATTTTACTTGTGTTGGATAAAGTCTCTTATGCAGTAATGGATCTACATGGATACTTATGGGTGCTCAAGCACCATTACCTTTTACCAGATTTAGTAAATTTGTATAGACAAGTATAAAAATATTTAGATAAATATTGAGCGAACACCAAAAACTAAACTCATTTTTACTTTTTTTTTGGAATTTTAATTACTGAGCGCCCATGATTTCAAAATCGTGAATCCGACACTGCTCTTATGTCCTCATATGAAATAGGATTACTAGCTATTCACCTTGATTACCTAACTTATTCACAGTGATCAGTCAAGAAATTCCTCACACTAAGTAGTATTATTTTCTCGGTATGTACAAAAAGAATTCTCCTATTGACATTGATATTTAAAGATAAAAGCTATTTCTAGTATTAAATATGGATAGACCAACCTCTATGGAAGATGTGGTAGGATCAAGAGAATTGTGTCATGTCTAGAAAGGAAAGAGGACAAAAAAAAAAAAAAAAATGTTGGGAAAAAAAAAAAAAAAAATGTTGGGAAACTAGTCAATTATCATTGTCTCAAACTATTTCTCAATGGTTTTATGTGTTGGAGTCCACTTAACTATGCTCCTTCTCAAAATGGGGGTAAGAAAGAATTGGCTGATGGACAGACAACATATCCCACGGCCCAAATGGAGAAGAAAAGCCACAAGCTTAGATTAGGTTCCTTTCTATCTCTCTTTCATGACGGTGACGATTCAACCCAACTATTTCATCTATTACCTGTATGATAACTCTGCCCGCCAAAGCTTAAACAAATAAGAAAAGATTGCCTAAGTTTTAAAGCCTATTCTCCAAGGTTTGAATCCATTTCATTGGATTCCTTACTTTTTCGGATAGAAAATATGCCACAACAAGAAGCTAGCACCATAATTTGTACTATTTTTATAGGAATACGGAGGGGGAAATGGCCATAGATAGCATTGTCCCAAAATTATGAAATCTCATGTTCAACTAAAACAAACTCTGGTCTTACCATTGCCTCCTAGCACAACAAATATTTAGGCAGACTCTGGTAGGTATCCGAAATTAGTTCCTACATAGTAGTTCAAAGAGAACTCATAACTGGGAAATTCTTGACAATACCTAAAAGCAGGTATATACATTCCCAAAATTATTCAGTAAAAGATGTAGCCAACAATATAGAAGTACAATTGCAGTGCATCCATATCAAGGAAGAACAATGAGAGGTTTTCATCGATGCAAACTATCCCGACAAACAGATAAATCTTTGTGAAAAGATCAAATATAAAACTCTTGAACTTTTCACCAGCTATGTTCATTCGCAAACAATTGGAAAAGAGTTTCCAACATTCATGCTCAAAAACCTTTCAAGCAATCCAATGAATTAACAGTACAATTTTTCATCAATTTAACCAACAGGGCTAAAGAAAAATATAGGAAGAAAGATTATGGACCCCTGGTAGGAGCAAAGCAGAAACAGCCACCAGCTTGGTCTTCGGGTATCATTCCTCCTCCTTTGCTCGTGTCAATTGCTTCCAACAATTTCACTACCTCATCCATTTCAGGTCGTTTGTCTGGATTCGCGTCCCAGCATTTCTTCATGATATGTGATAGAGAACTTGGACAACATCGGGGAATATCTGGTCGCAAATTCTGCAAAAATTGTGAATAATTTAGGACCGGATTGTCTTTTTTACCCATAAAGGAATGATTTAGGCTGGATTGTCTTTTTCACCCATAAAAAACCTGGAAGATAACAGTTTCTAAATGACCAGCATTAACTCATGAATCATGATATAAGCAACGAGTGAACAAATGCTCTAGTACTTAAGTGCATGACTACTCAAAGGCATAATAGCATCAAAGGTATTTTGACATGGATCGAATAATAGCAAAGATAAACAACCCATCAACTCCTCAGTAATGATATAGTGTTAGCCGTAATACTCCATAAGGTTGATTTGCATCAGAAAAGAGCTAGGTTCTACGACATCTATTTTCTCATCCGATTACTTAATATATGTGAATCAATGAATGCATACTTGAGTACAAGTAAATCCATATCTCATAACATGATTAGTTTCAACAAGCGAGTCAATAAGAAACTGGTTGGTACGAGTCAGAAAACTTAACAGATTATAAACCAAATGTGAGAATATGCACCTTGCAAAGGGTGACAGGAATGGAGAAATTATTTTCTTGCACGTAAAATGGGAACTTATTACTGGTTTTTATCCACATCCGATGGTTGCATAAGAGAAAAGCTACCTCGAAATTATAGTAACGCGATGGAAATAATTATACATGTACAGAAAAGGAAGGGCGACTGCATATATAGGTTTCCACCCTTTAATATATAATGAAGATTATATTTTTACTAGTAATTCAGAGGAAGCAAGGATGATTTGATTTCCCAAGAACAAGCAAAAACATGGTGTGAATGACAGCATAAACTTTTAAATCAGACAAACCTGTCTAACAACTGCAGAAGAAACTTCAGCAAAGCTTAGATCTGGATATGGGAGATCACAGCAATAAATTTCCCATAAGCAAATACCAAAGCTGTATACATCACATTTTCTGTTGTAGGGCTTGCCATCAAGTACCTACACATTGCATTTAATCATAGTACAGAAAAATTAGATTGATGTGACATAGAAATTACATTAAAGCAAATATAAGAAGGATTTTCTTGAAATATATCGCACGGATGTGAGATAGGAAGAGGGTAGACAGGTGATGATATCATGCTGACATGATATGACAAAGCCAACCCAACAGCTCCAGTAAAAGTGAGAATACCTCTGGGGCCATGTACCCAAGGGTTCCAGTTTCCCCAGTCATGTCCTTGGGATTTTGTGCTTCAACTCGAGCAACTCCAAAATCAGCAATTTTTAGAGTTCTATTAGTATCTAACAACATGTTTTCAGCTTTCACATCACGATGTACAATCTTTTTTGAGTGCAAATAGCTCAGCCTGCACAATTTCAAGAAGAAAATAAACATTATTTTCTTTTGATACATAAGATCAAATTAAACATAATTGGGCATAATTATGAATAAATATTAGATAGACTTACCCCCTGGACAGATCAAGAGCAAGCTGAATGACAATCTTAAAGGCAAGTTTCTTTTTCCTGTTTTTGTACAAGTAGTTCTTTAATGTTCCACCAGGGAGGAATTCCACAAGAACACAACAAGCCCGAGAAGGAAGGGTGGTATAACCCTCGGAAGGATTCTTCGAAGGGATCTTGAGATTTGAAGTTCCCATAGAAGCACCAACAAACTGAAAGCAAGAATAATAATCAAATAAAAGTTCGGAACATTGAGTTATTTAATAGGATGCTGCATGCCCACATGTTTATAGCAGGATACTAATAATTTAAAGCTAAAAAGGGAGGAACCAATTCAGGAAAAAAAATATACTTTTGTAACATTTGGATGGTCAAGCTTGTGCCATACAGCAACCTCCTGCCGAAATGATGACCGCAGAGCGGCAGTTTCAGCAGCTGTGGCCATGCCATCCTCTCCCCAGTCCAACAGTTTCACTACAAAAATAACAGTACTTAAGAAACTCTTACCGGTGGTTGATGAAATTACTGAACACTTTGAGAATACCGTTGAATACTTTCATTAATTGGTAGCATTCCCCTTTCATGTAAACTTTATTCAACATACTGTTAGAAAATTTCTAGAGCTCACTGGGCTCAAGTTAGTGTAATCATGACTCTTCGAAGTGAATGATGTAATGTCATACCCAAATGTCCTCTTCATGTCCTCCACTGAATTTGTCAAGAAGCTGAACTTTCTGCCCATCTTAGGCCAATTTCGTTTACAGCATCAATATTTCCATTACCACGAAGATGCCATTATAGTGCTCACAATTCACAAGGATGTTCAAATTCCACTTTACTTTCCAAATTTACAGCTTGTGGCTATAAGTTCAAAGATTTTATATTGCACTATATCAATCTCTTTTTACTTTTCTTTTTTTTTTNTAGATCTGTTTCATTGAAGCACTGAAATATTATACCATCCTTTGGAAGTGTGCAAACTTTAGAGCATAAAGTAAGTAAATTGTATAATTAACAGTTCCACTCTAAGAAATTGCTGTAAATTTCATTGAGATACACAACTTCTTTGAAGAAGTTGGCTGCAAAAGTAGAAAATTACTGGCCTAAATAGCTTGATTGAGAAAAAATCCCCTTATAAAATCCTAAAAATCTGGATGCATATGGAGAACTTTTAACAGGTCCACTGGCCTTGCCGTTAAACCACTATTTACGCGTATATTTTCAGCCTGGACTCTGGTGAAGAAATAGGCCTTTCAGTAATAACACAATTCTGGATTGAAATAAGAGATTTACTTCTCCGTGTCTTCTTTCTTCAAGTATTAAATGCTTATGCACAACCTGGAAAAGGAACATAAGCTCACCAAGCTGTGCTACTTTTTGCCTAACTGTCAACTGTATGTTATCCTAAAAGCAGTGTTTTAAGTAATTATAATATAAGGCAAAAGTCACGTAATGCATACTGCAATGCCAATAATCCAGTTCAGTGCTTCAAACCCTTGCAGTAAATATTAATAAATCCATTTCAAACAAGTAGTAAAGGTCAACAGAACATCAACCAAGAAAACAAACTTTTATTACTAATGAAGGCCATTTATTATGAATATTCCTATAACAAAAGAAAAGATAAGGGACTTTGACTTAATTTTCTGGACATCCAAATTTGTTACAGAAAGGTTTAAAGTGTATATGGTCAATAGCCATATCAAAATTTACAGGAATCACTAAGATCAAATTCAGTACACATGCAGATGGTACCACTACAACTACAGTTCAATGACAAAAAACATACAGCTCAACTTATTTTATCGGTGATCACAATGAATATTATTTACAGTCTGTTTTACTTGTCGGTATTAAAGGGAATGCATGGTACCAAAATATACACAACAATATCAACATAAAAATAAAAAAGCGTCCCAATTAGATGCATCAATCAAGATTTGCATGAGACAAAACATATCCTGCAAGAAAGAGAGAAAGTAATGTTACCTGCAACATCTTGATTGTCATAGGTACCGCGATAAACAGTACCATAGGTGCCCTTAGCTACAAGATACCTTATTTCCAACTTTAGAGGATCAATCTCCCATACTTCCTTGGGTCTATGATTGTTTTTCTCTAAGTTGCTCGACCAAACACGGCTCAAGTGCTTTTCCAATTGAACATCCAAGCTTTTCAGATCAATTTTGTCAGCCCTGAAAATCATATCTTTGCTACTTATGCTTCCAGGACTCTTTGCTTCCATATTGTTGTCACTAAGGGTACCTACCCCTTTCAATTTCGACACAACTTCCCCTTCTTCTTCATCATTATCCAACTTAAGGACCTTCTCTTCACCTTCCTCACTTTTCAAATCCATCTTTAAATTATCGGATTAATACACACAAAGATTCAGGAAATTTCTGATCTGGAAAAAACAATTAATATCAGAAATTAGATCCACAAAAGAGCTTCAAATAGCTGTAATAAAAATAAGAGTATCTCTAATGAGCATGCAAAATATGCTTCCCAAGGCCAAAAGACATATCTAAAAGGAAAGGAAAGGAAGGAAACAATTAGAGAAACCAAACAAATAACAACTTCCCAGCCCCAATTCCAAAGTCTTTTCAAACTCTAATTCCCTTCCAAATTTGACCAAATAATCAATCAAAATTATTGTTAAAAGGAAAGTATGAACAATTCAAAGCAAATAAAAAAAGAAAACTGACTTTTAAGATCTTCAAAGACCCAACCTCTTGTTCATCACCAACCATGCCATTGGTTTTCACAAATAAGGACCACTTAAATTAAAAGAAAACAAAAAAGTAAACCCTAAGAAAACGACCCCCAGAAAAATAAAAAGTCAAGAACTAATTTTGAGGGACAAAGAAGAATACCCACAATCTGAAATCAAAAACCCATATGCAGAAATAGATAAATTAGCCATAAACAAAGACAGACGCGAAGTTTGACCAACCCCTTTTTTCTCTGCTCTGAATTTTCTTTTCTTTTTATCTTTAAAGAAAAGGTCAAAGAATTTCCTCAAAAAAATGAGAAAAGATAGAATTTTGTGGTGATTGAGGGAGGAATTGCGAGGGAGTATAAGAAAAGAGAAATAGAAGAAAGAGAGAAAAAGATGCCTATAAAAAAGGTTCCATCTTTTACCATTAACAATGTTTATGCGACAGCTTCAAGATACGAGAATAATTGTGTACTCTTTCCGTGCAAATCCTTCCAACGAAATTACCTGTAACACATTAATTCTTCTTTTTATATATTAAAACAACTTTCGAATTTACCAAATTGTCCTCCTCCGTTCTCACCTTTTAGGTTATCTTTGTTTTTCCCCCTTTATATTCGGATTTCGACTAATTCAATTCTTATTAAAAACAATTATTATCAGAACTCAATCTTCATTGACTTTTAAATTCCTTTTTTTTTTTGGTAATACATTTTGGTTCTCTTTGATATAACATAAAAGAAATTTCTCTACAGAATTATCTATTAGTATTTAGTTACATTAAATTGTCAAAAAAAATTATTTTTATCACTTTATAACCGACATCAGTTTTCTTTCAATGTAGCTAACTATAACTATATTATACACTTATTGCAATTAATGCCTACACATTGTGATCAATCCTTTTTATCATTAAACACATTATCCTCTATTTTATCATCCACCTTATATTAAGAGCGAATCTATTTCTAACTAAACCAAAAAAAAAAAAAACTAGATAATCTGGAAAATGATTGTCCAATGTAAACATTTTCTACTAAATGCATTGTGTATGTGAAGTATATTGTGTTGTGCTAAGCACAGAGCTTTCGCCTTTTATGATTCTTTTTTTCCCATTATTTTGTGGGGAAAACAATAAAGAAGTGGTACTCAATCTTGGTTTTGTTGTTTTGTCTACATTTGATTGTCTTTTTCCATTTTGTCGAATGGATTGCCTCGACTATGTTTCAGAGCAATCTATATGTTTTTGTAGTTGTCTATTGGAAAATCAGGTTTCCTACATTAAATTACTCCAATTTGGAAATATGTTTTCTTTTCTTTATTTGAAGTTGGAACAAGGTCTAAGCTTCATTAATTAGAAAATAAATACTAGATTGGATTAATTATTAGATTTTTTTAGAAAAAATATCATTTATCTTCGGTAAGTATATATCAAAGAAAAAATTAATTTTCTCCGTTTGATATGAAAAATTACTACAGTATATATGGATGAAATATTCAATCTTTGAAAAACCATGAGAGAGAAAAAAAGAGGAAGAGTACTTTATGTGTGTTTCATCTTATTAATTTTTTCAACTGAAGAAGATATTGTATACGGTAAAATATATTCATATTAAATGCTCACATAATAAAGCGACACGTGGGGTCGAAGGCAGATGGAAAGCAAGGCAAATGGCAATTAGATCCGAAGGTAGCAATCCCGTTTGTTCCCGAAGGGAATGATGTTCATAAAGACAAAATAAATGACTGTCATCCGATAGCATTTAATGGAGAATATTTTATAGTATTAAGTACGTAGTCCGTTACAGAGAACATGACATTCATTGTCTACTGTTACACATTCCTCAATGGCCCCCATAATTGTCATTTAAGAGGGGCTTGATCCTAGGAACAACTATAAATAGTAAGCTCAACAGCCATTGTTAGGAGAGAATTTTCTGATAAGCTTAGGCTATATACTGTTCAAAGCTCAATAATATTTTATATTCTTGCTTATTAATATCGTTACTATTGTTTTCGGAAGCTCTGCTCCCGGAACCAATATTTTTGCTGTCATATCTCGATTTCAACGCTAAGTCTTACATTCTTGTTTAATTTATTTATCATTTTGGAATCAAATCGATTCACTTGTCTATAAACCACGTATAAGTTCAACTGTACCGTTTTACAGGTAAATAGTTTGGTGCCACCGTGGGGCTTAGACAGTTGTGTAATTGAGTTGATCCTTGCATCTATTACTAATTTATTTGATTTATTGTTCTTAGAAAAAATCATAGAAAATGATAGATAACGATGTCAACATTGCACACAACGCTGAGGCGCAAGAAAATCAACCTCAGCACGAAAATTCGATCAGTAATACCCCCAACAAGGGGGATGAGGCCACGCCAGTCCATGGCGAGCAATATCCATGGCATGTTCGAGAGGCAACTCCTGATGATGCTGAAGACAAGCACATCGCTGAAACAGTAAGGATCTCGAGGGAGCAACAAAAGGCCATTATGGGCCACCTCTCACGACAGGATCGAGTCATGACGGAGTTGAGGCAGGCGTTATCGGGTGCTTCCAACAACGTGAATGGACGAGGTCTAGTTCCTCCCGGTGCTCCCGCAAACCAGGCAACGTAGAGGGTCGACAACAATAGTCTGAGGGGAGAAATCGGCTTCGACAGGGCCCGGGGGAACTGTAGCGGATCCGGTAACAACAATGAGAATGATCACTTTAAAATCAAACTCATACGGTTTATGAGGGAAATAAACTCCCGAATGGATCAAATTTCGGGTGCACCACTAGTGTTGAAAGGTTCGGACTCAAAGAAATATACCCAGTTGCCATTTAAACCAAGCGCGACACCAGAATTGACCCAAAGCAGTTCAAATGCTAGACGTATGAAGTATGATGGGACTTCGGATCCTCAAGAACATATCACCACCTATACAACAGCGATGAAAGGGAATGATTTAGCTCCGCACGAGATTGAGTTAGTCTTACTGAAAAAATTTGGGGAGACCCTCACGAAGGGGGCCCTCACATGGTATTCGTTCTTACCCGAGCACTCAATTTCCTTTGAGATGCTTGCAGATTTTTTTATTAAAGCCCATGTTGGGTCCAGAAAGGTATAGGCCCGAAAGGCCAATATATTTAGGATTGCACAAGGAGAGTCCGAATTGTTGTGGGAGTTCGTGACCAGATTCCAGAAAGAAAGAAATATTGCTACCGGTCGTACCGAACGAATGGGCAACGAAAGCGTTTACTAAAGGACTAAACCCGAGAAGTTCTTACGCTTTCCAAAAATTGAAAGAAAGTCTGCTTGAGTTTTAGGCAACAACATGGGCAGATGTTCACAACCGGTACGAGTCAAAGATAAGAATTGAGGATAATCAGCTCGGTTATCCGGCATCAACCAAGGGTCGGGACCAGAAGAAGAATAAGGAGAAATCGAAGGATGATTTCGACACAGATCGACGATCTTCAAGAGGTCGGTTTTTTCCCTATGAAAGGGCCGAAGGATGCGATAAAGATTTCCGATCGACGAATAGATTTGATGTCGCGACCGGAATAACAAATCATTGCAGGACAAGGAGATATCGGGTTCTCTAGATTCTTCCTACCCCAGGCTATCCAAATACAACTTCAACGTCAATGTAGTGGAACTAGTCTAGGCTATGAGGAATATTAAGGAAGCACGGTTCTCGAAACCAATGAGATTTGATCCCAGTGAAAGGGATCCTAATTTATGGTGCGAATACCATGGGACCAATGGTCACCGAAATGGGTACTGCAAGCATTTGCGCGAGGAGGTGGCGACATTGCTGAAAAATGACCATCTTAGAGAATTCTTAAGTGACTGGGCTAAAAACAACTATAGCCGCAATCGTGATAACGCGGAACCGTCGAAACAGGAGAAGACGACCCTTTTTGAAGTAGTAGACGGTGATATGGGCTAAAATATTATCCTAGGAAGACCGTGGTTTTACGAGATGAAGGTTGTGCCATCAACATATCATCAATTACTGAAATTCTCAAATCCCGAGTGAATTAAACAAATATGGGGTGACCAACCAGTAGCAAGGGAGATGAATGCAATCTTAGTTTCTAGTAGCAAAGGGAATTAGCATGCAACATAGCAATTATAGGAACCGACGCCTGTGTTCGAGACGAGTGAAGTCAACCAGGGGGAGAAGTCATCGAAATCCTATCAGGTACTAGGATATTTCCAGGTACCAGAAGAAACGGACATAATAAAGTCCATAACGGAGGAACTTGAGCAAGTCGCATTATTCAAAAAGTTCTTGGAGAGGAAGTTCCACTTGGGGACAGGACTAAACCCTAAGCTCAAGTCTGGATTTATCGAATTTCTTAAATTTAACATTGACTATTTTGAGTGGTCGCATGCGGATATGACAGGTATCCCGCCAGAAGTGGTCATGCACAAACTAAGCCTAGATCCTAACTTCCCTCTAGTAAGGTAGAAAAAACATCCTATTGTCGAGGTCAGAAACAAATTCGTCAAAGAAGAGGTAACACATTTGCTTGATATCAGTTCAATCTGAGAGGTAAAGTATCATGACTAGCTAGCTAACGTAATAGTAGTTCCAAAGAAGAATAATAAATTTTGCATGTGCATAGACTATAAGGATCTAAATAAAGCATGCCCAAAAGACTCGTTCTCATTGCCGAACATTGATCAAATGATTGATGCGATGGCCGAGCACAAGTTAATGATTTTCACCGATGCTTACTCTGGGTACAATCAAATCAAAATGAACCCGGAGGATCAGGAAAAAACATCATTCATAATTAACTTCGACACATATTGCCAAAATGTGATGCCTCTCGGGCTAAAAAAAATTGGAGTTACTTATCAACGGCTCATAAACAAAATGTTTGAAAAGAAAATAGGGAAAACTATGGAAGTTTACATAGATGAGTATGCTGGTTAAGTCTTTGAACGCAAATGATCATCCTAAATACCTGCAAGAAACCTTTGACATCCTAAGGAAGCACAACATGAAGCTTAACCCTGAGAAGTGTGCATTCAGAGTCAGCTCTGGTAATTCTTGGGATTCTTGGTGTCGCAAAGGGGGATCAAAGTTAATCCCGATAAAATTAAAACCATCGAAAACATCCCTAACTAGCTATCAAGCGTAAAATAGGTTCAAAGGTTAACCAGAATACTGGCTGCTTTAAGCAGGTTCATTTCCCGATTTTCAAAAAAATGTCATCACTTCTTTTCACTCCTCAAAAAGAAGAACAACTCCGGAATGACAGCAGGCTTTGAAGTATTTGAAAAGGTATTTATCGAGTCCTCCATTACTATTCAAAATCGAAAGAAGGCGAATAACTGCTGATTTACTTAGCGGTCTCAGAGGTAACAGTAAGTGCTGTTTTAGTCCATGAGGATGAAGGTACACAATGTAATTTTAACGGGGCAG